GGCAGTCCCTAGACTCAGGCCCTGCCAGCCTTGACCTTCTACACCTCCACTGCAAACTCGTTTCTAAGGCAGGAGTTCTGACCCTCGTAGGTCTGCCTTCAGCTGTAGCTTCCAGAGACCTGCAATCGGGGGGCAAACCACTTCACCTCTCCATTTCTTCACTCCAGGCTTTGCTCTGGGCAACTGTGAAGATTAAATAACTCTGCTTAGCATGACAGTCCACACACAAGAGCCACCACGGTATGAGCATCACTTCATGACTACCAAATCCTGATACAAGCACATCAAAAGACCGGTTACGTAGCTTCAATAAGAGTGTTATTTTTGTCACTCTGTGGTCAACCTATGTGTCATACACCAGATAACTCCAGTTTTCTATTGAATTACTTGTAGTAATAAGAGAGGCGGGGCTGCATCCCCAGCACCCCAGCTGCCCACATGGCTAGCTTATGCTCCGAAATAACAACACACAAACTGTATTCATTTAAACACTGCTTGGCCCTTTAGCTCTAGCCCTTACAGGCTAATTCTCACATCCCGATTAACCCATCTCTAATAATCTGTGAGCACCGGTCTTACCGGGAAAGATTCAGCATGTCTAACCTGGCGGCTTGCTTCATCGCGTGCGTCTGCCTGGGAGAGCGGAACATGGCATTTCTCTGAGGCGTCTGCTCCCGAGAGGAGAGCTGTGGAGTCTGAGCTCACTTCCTCTTCCTCCCAGGGTTCTGTTCTGTTTACTCCTCCCACTTATCTTCTAACCAATGAGGGTCAAGCAGTTTCTTTTTATTTAACCAATGACCTTCCTCCATCAATTACTTCCTTCTATTGAAGAGTCTGAGTGATGTTTGCATGTTCTGTGTGGACAGGCACTTATGTACAGGTGGGTGGAGGCCAGAAGTTGATTCAATCACTCTCCGCCTTACTTTTAGAGATGGATCGACTCACTGAACTTGAAGCTTATCGATTCTTCCAGGTTGTCTGCAGACCGTGAGCTCCCAGGATTTGTCTGTTTCCACCTCCACCTCTACAGTACTGGGAGACATAAACACAGGTTGCCATGGCTGGCTTTTTATGTGGGTGCTGCTTCATCAGGTATTTTTACCAACTTGACCGTCTCCCCAGTTCCTATTGCCTTTCTAATTTATGACTTCAGATATTGTTGGATTGTTAGCTTCTTAACTCAATGGGAATCAAAAAGCTAAAGGAGTTCATTTCCCCAAAAACAAAAATGCACTTGTGATACTCATTTCTCAGTATTGCATGCAATAAAAACTTCTGTAGTTTTCAAAGTTATAGATGGATTAAATATTTAGATGTTTTTCAAATGAGCTAAATATAGAAGTACTAGGAGAAAACAGAGGTAAACATGTCCGCAAGTTGAGATGTATAAAAATCTTTTTTAAGCATAACCACAAAGGCCAAAAAAACATTGGCAGCGTTCCGGTCTGGGCCCGGCAGAGAGATGCCTACTAAGAAGGCCAGTTAGAAAGGTGCACCATTAACATTCATAAGTGGGTCCATGGGACAGGCTTGAAGAACTGTACACTTCAGACATAGAGCGCAGAAGTAGGGCCACTTGTCTAATATGTGAGGGTACTCCCACTGCCAAAGGAACAGCTAGTGTCTAGGACAGCACCAAGGAGCCAAGACAGCCATCAACAACTCAGTATCAGTGAAGGAGGCTCAGCTGAGGTTTCTACCTGCATTATTGCTGTCACTTGATAAGTACAAAAATGTGTCTTAATGCTTACAAACTAACTTTCACACAAAGCTAAAAAGTTTGAGCCAGGTGGTGGTGGCACACTTTTAATCCCAGTACTTGAGAGGCAGAGGCAGACAGATCTCTGTGAGTTCAAGGCCAGCTTGGTCTACAGAGCAAGTTCCAGGACAGGCAGAGCTATGTATCGAGATGTTGTCTTGACAAACAAAAACAAATGAACAACCCCCCAGGTCTGAGCTTCAATGCATACCACAAATATATAGTTATTAAAATCATGTGGTATTGGCATTAGAACAGACATATAGCAATGGAAAACATTATGAGCTTAGGAAGAAAATACACGTTTAGTCATTCTCGACTAGATGCAAGACACTATACAGGGAAAGACTATAACGATGTTGGGACACTGGTTGTCAACATACCACAGAATGAAGCTAGGTTTCTACAACTCACATAAAAACTAATCCCGGGTATAGAAAAAAACCTAAGTGTAAGAGGGAAAATGATAAAAAAAAATTGGGAGAAAACACAGATATAAATCTTTATGACATAGTTTAGGCAGTAGTTTTTTAGATACACTTGAAGCTCAAGCAACCAAGAAAGAAAATAGATAAATCGTACTTTATCAAAAGCAAGGCTGCCAAGGTCTGAAGTAGTGGAAAGACAACCCTCAGGATGGCAGAAACCATTTGCACACCATATATCTACCTATAGGCTAGTAGGCAGAACTCAGGAAAACTAATTTTAAAATGAGCAAAGGATCTAGGCAATTCTCTGGAAGTACAAGTGGCCAATAAGCATATAAAAAGACAAATAGCAATGCAACAGAATCTTTACGGAAAGGTCAACCACAGGCAAGCACTCCCCGCCTCCTGGCACCTGGGAAGCCATGAACTGTGAAACTGTGAAATGGTACAGACAAAAAGCTTGGCCATTTTCAGACATCTCACCAGAATTACCACATGGTCCCACAATTCTGAGGTTTAGACCCGAAGGAATTAAACCTGTGTTCACACTAATGCAAATGGCAACATTATTCAGAATCACCAAAGTGGAAACTCCTGAGGGAATTCAGTCCAAGAGCCAATTGTATGGGACAGCTTGGTCCAACGGGCGTGGTCTTCTCTGGAGAAACGTGACCCCACGAGGGGAAGGGTCACAGCGCAGGATCCCTTGGACTGAGGAGGGCCTGCAGAGGCACGGCTTGGGAACTTCCCCAGACCTTCCCTATCGCCACTGGGAACTAGAGGAGGGTCAGTTCCGTGGAGGGAGGCTTTGTAGCCTTGATCGGTATTGTGAGTATACTCTTTTGATTTGCACCTGTTAACAAATCTGATTGACCACCGAGTTCCCTCCATCAATACCATTCTTCATCTCCAGCTGGTGGTACTATTTTGAGGGTTGTGAGGCATAGCACAGTATTGAGGGAGGAAAGCCTGTGATCAAGTCAATCAGTAAAGAACCCCACCCCTACCCTACCCCACCCCCGGGTTTTATCGGGTCACTGATCTCCAGAAAAGACCACACCTATTGGACCAACTAGCCCCATACAACTGGCTACTGGACTGAATTCCCTCAACAGGAAACACCAGAGGATATCAAGAAAAAAAAACTATCCATAGGACTATCCATAGGACATAAAGAATTCATGGTAGCACACAGATGAACCTTGAAAACATGATGGCTAAGTGAAAGGAATAAGATACAGGAGGCCACATGCTGTCTGATTCCATTGATGAAATGTCTAGAACAGGCAGAGACAGAAAGTAGGTCACTGATAGTTCCTGGGGCACAGGGGAAGGGGGTGGTGAGAGTTAAAAAAGAACACAGACATTCTTCCTGGAGTGACAGAATTATCTGATGGAAACAGCGGCCTGAGTGTGTGCAGACCAAACACGTGGCCTGCACACCTGCAGACAGCAAGTTTGATGCTTGTGACATCTGATGCTGTGAAGAATGTGGGATAGGGAGTCCCTCTGTCTATGTGTTGCTTTCCTTGGTTAATAAAGGAACTGCTTTGGGCCTATAGCAGAGCTGTAGGGAAACAGAGCTAGGTGGGGAAAACGAAATGGAATGCTGGGAGGAAGAAGGCAGAGTCAGGGGGAGACGCCACGGAGCCACCACTGCCAGAGTCAGACATACCGGAACTTTGCTGGTAGGCCACGACTCCGTGGTGATATACAGATTAATAGAAATGGGTTAAATTAAGATGTAAGAGTTAGCCAATAAGAAACAAGAGCTAATGGGCTAAGCAGTGAATTAATTAATACAGCTTTTGTGTGATTGAGTTTAGAGTAGCCGGGTGGGTGGGAACCAAACAAGCAGCCCCCTCCCTCCAAGAATTACTGAAAGAACACAGAACAATCAAGACAATGACACATTAACATGGGCACAAAAGACCACAGGGGCTAAAATAACAAAGGGGACCAGAAAAGGGTGGAGAGAGAGAGAGACAGAGAGAGACAGAGGCAGAGAGAGAGATATTTTTTAATGAAGTTATCTGGAACAGGCTAGAGTGTCATATGGAGGAACACAAACCATAAACCTCTTCGTCACACAGTGCTCACATGATTTCAGCTCTATCACAGATTATTTTTTTATACACACATAATTTTTTACGAGCTACAGAGAAAAACCTGTGACTATGTATTAGGCAAGAATTTCTTAGGACAGAAAGGCTGGAAGACAGGAAGAGAACACACTAATAAACTGACAAGAAAACAGAACATTTTCAGAGGTAAGCCATAGACAAACATTTACAAAATCCTACCAGCTAGCAGACAGATAAAATGTGGCAGTGTCATACACATTATACTGTTCACTGGATGAAGAACGGCTAATAAGAACTAAGCATGGGTGAGGGATAAGGTGCAAAACATCAAATGCAAGAGCACACTGGAGTAGACAGACACGGGCTAGGTAACCAGAAATGCAGATCTGCAGAGTGTGATGGTCAGAGGAGCTTCTGGCTGGGGAACAGTAGACAGAGAATGACTGATAAAGCATTTTTCTTTTTCCTTCCTTTTCTTTTTCTTCCTTCCTTCCTTTCTTTCTTTCTTTCTTTCTTTCTTTCTTGTTTTTTTGAGAAAAGACCTCATGCAGCACAGGCCTCAAATTTATTATACAGCTCAGGCTGGCCCTGAACTCCTGATTTCCCTGCTTCCACCTCTTGAACGTCACATTACAGGTGTGTACCAATGAGTGTGGCACTGGTGGGAGGTGAAACACAACACTTTGCGACAATCTGCAACATCTTATGACATAAACACCACACAACTCGGCAATTTTACCACCAATATTTATTGAAGAAAAATGAAGCTATATGTTCACACACATTGTATATAAATGTTCATAATCATTTATTCATAATAACCCAAACTAAAAACAGCTGAGGTCCACACCAATAGGATAACAGCATCTTCATGTAACAGAACACAACTCTCTGAAGAAAACGGACTCAAGTAACAAGATGGATGCTTTTCACAGAGCCACGCTGAGTGAAACCACACATAAATAAAATACTGATTTCACCGAGTACACAGCAGCACAGAGCAGACAGCGGCGGCTTGGGCTGAGTGGATGGGTGGGACGTTACTCAAGGGACATGAGGCAGGCCACACTGAGGATGAATGAGTGGTCTCTATTTTGGTTGCAGAAAAAGCCATGGAGGTGCATTTCTGTCCAATTCCTTAGGTGCTATTCCCCACGGGTGTTTCTGCTATATGTAAAATTTTAAGTGACTAAAGCTGCTCTGAAAAAGAACGAGTCTGACCAGGACACCATTGTTCTTGCTGAGGAAACGGAGCCACCACGTCTGCCTGGCATCCGCAGTGCACACACTGGCTCTCAGTAGCACAACAGTTTGGTACGTGAGACCACTGTCCTGGGCAACAGCCCTCCCTTACTCCTTCCAAGACCTGAGGACACATGCCTACTCAAGAACAGTGTTTCAAACCTGTATCTTTCTGAGATGGTCTAGTTAGGTAGCTTTAGCTACTCTGGTATTTACCATGAAGCCCACATTAGCCTCAAAGTCACAGCAAGCCTTCTGTCTTCAACTCTTGAGTGTTGGAATTATATATGTCCAGTTTATTCTTATGGCTGATCTATTTTATTCCCAATCTTTTTGTTATAAAGAGCAAATATCACTCCCTGTCTGTCCCCTATAAGCACAGCTTCACACGCTCCTCTGTAGGATGAGCTGAAGGCTTATTCCGTGACTAACACAGGCTGGGGCAGCTTTTTCTGTCTCGTTGGAACGCAACATTTGTTTTAGGGAACAGGGTCTTGTGTAGCCCATGCTGGTCTCTGGCTATGTAAAAAGGGTGACCTTAAACTACTGATCCTCCTGCCTCCACTCCTAAGTGCTGGGATTAGGTGTGTGCTACTAGACCAGCTAGCGATACTATTTTTAACTGCTATGGTCCTTGTTCCCGGTAACTTCTTGTGTTCTGGGTGCTTCTGGGAACTCTGACTCACGAGGGTCACCGATTCAGGGCCAAGAGAGAGATGTCAGTGCTCAGTCTTGAGGGTCAAAGCTGAGTTTATTAAACGTAAAGAAGATAAAAGCCTGCAAGTCAGAGGACTTTTGCTCTGGAGGTAAAAAAGGTTTTGAGGAACCTACTAAACTTGGCTGTGCAAAGTCAATGTCGGAGCCCTGGCGAGTCACTTATTCCTTACCACAGGGGGAAGATTAATAACATTACCAAGAGCAGCTTCTCAACATTCATCAAGAGATGCTGACTTAATAGGAAGAGCAGAAGAAGAGATGTCAAGAGCCTGGCTGCACAGGTCTGAGGTCTCTTGAACCCATTCCAGAGTATGGATACCCAACAGAACCACACTGCAAAGATTAGCCTAAAGCCCATGTGGTGAGGCTGAGGCCTTAACAGATTTAAAGAGCTGCTCCCGCATTCCCTGTTGCCTCTCAAGTAAATCTTAATGCTCGGCCACATTCTGAGAAATTACTGACTCACAGGCATCAAAAGGCACAAACATTTAACATGCCTCTCCCAGGGCACAATTCAATCTGAAGGAACTCCCTTCAGCTGGAAACTGGAGCACAAGACCCCTTGGCAACCTGGGCAGTGGCCTCAATAATATTTAGACTTCACTACTTCTAGACTGCTCCCCACACTAGGTCGTGAAGTCTGTTTTGCAAATGAGTATTTTGTGGATGAGCTTAACAGCATCAAGCATGAACATGGTAAAGTCAACTACAATTAGATGGTCAGGAATATGGCAAAGTAGAACTTGAGAGGTGATACATCTAAAAGGAGCTCATGAACAACTCTGGTTCATCAGACCTCACAAACCCTTCAGCTCCTGTGCAGGAGAACAAGCTAATCAAGCCTGAATAGAATCATCAAAAGCTGCAGCCACATTGAAGGCCAGAGTTGTCTGTGAATATACACAAAACCCCTAATTTTGAAAAGGGTTTTCAAGCTCTTTTTGCTGAAGTTGACACTATTTCCATTGAGTCCCAATACAGAGCAAGAGCTGCTCACGGGCAGCTGCTAAACAAATAAGGTCAAGGTCTTATCAAGCCTTCAGAACTATCCAGGCACAAAAAGTCAGACAACATTCCTGAGGAAGAGTTGTCTGAACCTGGACTTTCCAGGACAACAACCACTGGTCACTTAACTGCTGGGCACTGAAAACAGGGCTGGTTCCAAAGAGATCTCAGAGATGGAAAACAAAATAGAAAACCAAAGACCTAGTTATGTATCAGTTGGGGACTTTTTGTCAAATTGATTACATGGCAAGATGGATCTGTATGTCTGAATACTCTAGGGCAGTCTATGGTTGTGTTCTAACAACAGATGAACTATACGCCATCCTTGGTGTACAGAACCTGGATATCTGGGTGGTGATTAGACTTACAGTTCTTTGGTGAGTTTCAGTACCTATCCCTGGCCGGCCTGTTGTAGACCAGGCTGGTCTCAAACTCAAAGATCTTTTCGCCTCTGCCTCCTGAGTGCCTAGACTGAAGGTGTGTGTGACCACACCTGACCGAAAACTAAACATCTCGGGCATTAACGAGCTACCAAGGACTCATGATATGCAACTGTTTATTTTCCTAAAGTTGTTTTACACTATGGCCAACACTATGTTCCAGTCACTCAGCTCCCAAAGGACCAAGTAAATCAGGAATTGTAAAAAGTCAAATTTATTTTATTGGGAAGGTATTTTTTGGTTATAGTCTATCTGACTCCCGTAACATAGTTAGTTCAAGAGCTCACAAAATATTATTAGGAGTAAAGCACTATTTGACAAAAATTTAAGTTTTATATTAGCATTAAGTACTGCAGACATTTTTTTTAAAAAAAGCATTTTATGTGAAATATATAAACTTAGGGGATTTTGTCATCTTGGGATATATCTCTCAGGATACATACCACTATTTCACAGGTCTGGTCTGTGATTTCCTGCCCTCTGAAGAGCAATCTGTTGTGGTGTTGCCATGGATGCGCTTAACAGCTAGATCATCAGCAGGCTGCCTCCTTGACCTGTACAGCTACTCTACGGCTACTGCTCCTCCAAGATTTCACCAAAGACCATGAAACAGCAACCTGTAGCCTTCTGGTCCTCCTACAGAGCACAACCCAATCTGTCTTTAAGAGTAATCATCACCAGGATATAGATGTGTACAAGAACCCAAACCAAGTTGTACCTTTGTTTTTCGTTGTCAAGATCTAAAGTCAGGCACAATGGAAAGGAACCCAAGACAAAACTCCCAAGAGTGTTTCAGGGCACAGGTTGGCACTCACTAAGCAAAGGTCAGAGCAACAGGAGCTAAGGCAATGGGGCTTCAAGAGAGGTCCAACTTAGCCAAGCTAGAGTGCTAAGTAACTCCGTGCCCCTCACGCTAGAGTTAGTGCTGGCGATGTTTCAAGCCCTAAGGCACTGTGACCCGGAAGCAACTGCCAGTATTCGTGTGTTCGTTTCTGGCTTTGTTCTCAAACCTCTATCCAGTCCTCCACCTCAATTCATTTTCATATGTATGTTCCTTATTTATGGCTCTTTAGGATATTCCTGGCAGAATCGGATTTTCCTAGGTACTGCCAACCTTTCGCGATACACAAAAACAAGGAGTTGTCCCACCAGCTCTCTGCCTCTTGGCAAAGATGACTGCTGAGGTGAGTCAACTTTCCTTCTTAAGTTTCCAGTCCTCTTGCCCTCCCTCCTCTTTACTTCCCGCTCATCTCTCGAGTTACTTTAGATTTCCTAACAGGCCTTTCTGCCTCCAGTCTCCCTTCTCCAATCCGGAATGTAAGCAAGGCTGTCTTTTTCCTGCTGAAAGTCCTCTACCACAGCTAGACACACACACACACACACACACACACACACACACACACACACACACCCTGCATGAGCTGCTGTTTGCTTGCCTCCCTAGATAGAGTGAAGGCTGATTTTCTCATTTTCTGTCTACTGTACACTTACTTCTCTTTACCCACTCTCTCCAGAGCCCGGCCATCTATCTATTCTTAAAGACCTAATCATGCGCTCATCTCTTCTGAGTCGTATTACATTGTAATATGTCTGCTACAGCTCATTACTTACTCTCCAGTGTGCAACAGTAACTTAAATTAAGCTCCCAGGGGCCAGCTGACTTTCATTACTATGTTCCTAGTTCCAAGAAGCATGGAATCAAAATCCTTAATGTAAAGTTGTTCAAACAGCACTTTCACCAAATGATGAGAATGGAAATCAGAACCCACGATGCTCTGTTAATCCATGGCTTCTTCCAAAACACAAGATCTCAGATGTTACCATGATACTTCATGATAAATGTATTATAAAAATCATAAATGGGTACAAATGTTTTTGTTTAGTAATCAACATTTATGTATATTACGTATCTGACTTGGAATACATACACCTTCTTATTAATACAAGAGTCCTGATATCAGAAGACCAAGGCAAGGCACAGAGAATAAAACCCATGGCCAGAGATGCCTAAGACTAGGAGGTCCAGCCCCAAAGTCTAGTTTCTTAATTGGTTCACTACAGAACCCAATGTTGTTTATATCTTAAAAATTGCTTCCAAAAATAAAGGCAAATTATGAAACAAACGAAGTCTACAAAGTGTGACTCCTCACCCACAGTGCACCCTTCCCAACAGGGCTCCCGCTGCATTTCCATGGTAATGGTAAAGGTTTAGATCAGGTATTCCAGAGGACACCTTTACCTACAGTCATGGGAAAACACATGCCTTTGTCCACTACCATAAGCTTATGAGAAATTTTGATACTTTTAGATCTAGCTTTGCTATTATGGGTAATAAAATAAAGAGGCCTAACATCAATTACAGCATGGCAACTTTTCAGCATTCAGATGTTCTATTGCAATGCACTGTCAACTTAAAGACAATAGGTAGGGCACGGCAACTTCCCTTCAGAGCATTCTTGATTTTCTACTTCCAAAGAGCAGGAGAGTTTAACAAGATCATTTGGAAATTTTATTTATTAAAATATCAATGATGAGCTGTTCCGTTTCTGTTGAGATCACACTAACACAGGCTGTTCCTAATACATTTTCTCTAGTTCCAGGGCCTTATTTAACAAGAAGAATAAAATACTTTCTGATAGAGGAAATCAAGAGGTATTATAGAAAAGTTGGGGAACCTGGAGCAAATCAATGGAGACAAATATTGTGATTTTCAACCAAAGAAACCCGCATGACAAGTCACCTGCAGAGACATACAGCAACCGCTAATCAGTGCCACCAAGTCCGATGCTCTATCACATCTTCCCAGACCAACGTCTCCTGAGTGTACTATGTACAAGCAAACACTCTAACAAGACTACAATCAAACTTTGAGACAAGCTCTCATTTTTTAGTTCAGGCTGATCTCAAACACCATGTAGCCCAAGCTGGCTTCAAACCTGTGATCCTCGCCTCTGCCTCAACCTCTCATGCATACCAGATACAAACGTGGTTGACTAATGAAGGAAACATTTCTGGCGCCAGTTACAGCTGACAATAGGCAAGCAGTTGTGAAGTTTTCCAAATAAATGATCGGTACATGTCAACTCCAACATACTAAATCAGAAATGTCTCTTCAGTGACAGGAGAATGTCACTTATGTCTGTCCAATCTTGAGATCCTCATGGGCCAGAGACAGAGCTAAGAAACATATAATGCCAATAAATGGTACAGTATCACATTCTTCATTTGTGGGGATGCTAGTTCATGCCAGCTGCTCTTTGCTTCTCCATAAACAAAGAGACCAAACCAAAATAAAACAATCTTATTTTCAGCCACTGGTTAAGAAATTAGAGTTTGGACATCTTTTAACAAACCTGTGAGGTCACTGACAGTGCATATTCAACTGACTAAATATTAACATTTCTGGTGTTCAAGGCCTTTTAAGTTCTAAAAGAAAGTCCACAGACTTAGGAGATGAGGAATTTCCCACTTAAGACAGAGAACTCTTTGATTTATTTATTTATTTTTCTATTTCCTAGTTTAAGCACATTTACAGAATATGGTAAAGAGTATTAGTTGGGTACATTATCACCAAGAATGCCTTATCAACGGTTTCAGTAGTGGATCACTCCCAGGAGTGTGCGGAGCAGCAACCATTCAGATTCAGCAGATGTGAGGAGAAAGAGGGGGCAGTGAAACAGGTAAGGTCACTGCAGTCATATCATACAGCTAAGAAAATATTACAAGTGACATATTTTAGGAAAAGGAAGAGAATGGGCTCCACAGTACTGACATGCTAAGAGTTTTAAAGTTAAAATATCTGTACAGTGATTGACAAGGGGCATTTCACACTTCATCTCTTGCTGCCAGTGAATGCCGAGTTTATACCAGGGTAAACCAAACCCACAGGAAAATGGCTGAAGGCGCCAGAGCGCCTACAACCAGCAAATGGCACTGCTGATAAGAACACCATTTGCCTTTAGCTAACTTTGTGCGCCCACAATTGGCTCTGGTTTAGATGGAAACCTCCTCTGTGAAGCATAAGGCTATCTGGTCATAAGGCCAATGCACAGTGTGGCTATCAGTCAGGTTACAGACACAACTCTTCCCCAACTGTGAGAGTTCAGCTCTGCTCACCATTGGCTCCCTGCTGGGGCCATCCTCTTATTCACTCAGGTCAGTACAGGAAAGCAGGTACTATTTACATCGACTCCACCATCCCTTTCACTGAAAGGAACATGCCTATGTCTTGCTGTAACATATTAAAATGATTGCTTTTGTTTGTTTGTTTGTTTTTGAGACAGGCTAGTCTAGAACTCACTATGCAGCCCAGGCCAGCCTGGACCTCCTGGTAATCCTGTTTCCTGAGCGCGGAGGGTCTCTGAAACCTCACCACACCCAGACTTAGAACCACAGTGTGAAATAAGGTCTGAACAGGCACTGCCGTTCCCGAGTGCTCACGCAGGTGGAAACAGCTTTGTTGTGTGCGCTGCAGCTCTGCTCAGGATTGTCCTTGTTATTCTGGGCTGCATTCTAGTGTCTAAAGGGGTGGAAACCGAGTTATTATGTAACAAAGAATGCAGAAGACTTGCACTGGAGAGCCCAACTCTATACACTCCTGTCAACATGACTTTACACTGTGGCTTCTGTTGTCACCTAACACAAGTCAGGCAGAGACCACTGCTTACTAACAGTCAGAAACACTCTTCTTAAAACAATCATGCAGTCTGATTAGTAGCTTGGTTTGAAAATCATTATGTCTATTGCTCTAGACAGGGCCAACTAAAGTGAATGGATTTCTAAAGAGAACAGTGCTTCTCTTAAATATCTTGGTGAAGAGGAAATGAAAAGCCAGGTTAAAGGAGAAAAAAAAAATGGCAATAGATTCACTATGGACAGAGTGGCACTAGAGAAACCCAAACATGTGCCTCCTTCTCCATACACGTGTGACCTTATCCGAGGAGCATTTACAAAGACTCTAGAAGGGGATGATTGGCTGGGTAAGTGAGGCCCCAGTTTTGATTCCATCTCCATAGTATTTGCTATCAGTAGTTTCTGGTCGGATAGCTAACATAATTTTATGACTGATACTACTCAGTGTCCGCACACAGACTGATAAATATTATAAGCAATGCTATATAAAGTCTCACGTACAGAACATTCCTAGAACAGGAACTTTGAACAGAAACTGGAATATCTGAGCTCCTCTCTTTTCTTCTATTTCTAAATTGTTCTTTATAGGAAATCATTGCAAACAAAATTTAAAGTAAAAATGCTAATTTTATAAAATATGAGAAATAAAAAGGCTGTTATAATGCATTTCAGTAAACACTACCCAGACAAACATAGTCCGTCCGTGTCCTCGACAGGGCAGCACTGCGCTCTGACCTCACGGTACTTAGAGGCAGCAGCCAAGGCACATGAGCCATCAGGACCGCAGGAGGACAGTGTGAAGGAAGGGTGAACTGAGGCAAGACGTCCAGGAAGCTGAGCTTGACACAAAGCAGGTCACCTTCCAGGGGATTCTAAATATTAATTACCACAGCTGCTCTCCAAGAAGAGAAGACAGCGGACATAATTCTTACCACAACAATACACCAGTAGTAGAAAGCAAAGCAATTATTCACATTCTAAGAGCTTGGGGAAAATCAGAGAGAAGAAGAAAGCTTACAGACTGAAAGATGAAGTGACATGGATTCAGATTTCATATTAACAGAAAAAAAAAAAACTTAAGAAAATTTCCCCCGAGGGAAGAGTAACTTCCTACAACTGGCTGAAAAAAGGCAGCTACAGAGCTGTGCTGGCAGCTGCCACACTGAGGTTCTGGGTGTCTGACCACTGACCATAACAGCCCATGGCTTAACCGTAGGAAAGCTCTAGTTACAATACGAAAGCAGTGCAGCTCTTCCCAATATCTGGGAAGACCCCTGCCCTTCTGCCCTTGCCCTTCTGAAAAAGAGGCAGCAGAAGCCACAGGGCTGGGGACAAATGAGAGGTACGAGTAGCAGCATCTGAGAAGCACCCACTTCAACCCCCAGGGCAGCTCAGCAGGGCAGCAGGACTGTGCGGCACGGACTAGATCGGGAGCAACATTCTCCTGAGGAAACCTACTAGTAGTATTCTGATATGTTTTTTAAAAAGACATCCACTGTTGCAGCCTGACAGCACTCTTCCAGTATTCTTAACCATCAGATGTATTTGGGGGGAATATTTATTCACATAATTTTGCTTAATACAGTTCTTTCTACAAAGACTCAATTTAAAAGTATCCACAACATTTTCAATTACAGTAACAACACATTAATAAATTATAAATTAACAAAATCTTTATATTTGCTTAAAAATCATTTATCAAATGCTAACTTCCAGATTATCTGGAAAACTAAAATTGCAAGTTGCTAGAAATCTGGCATCCCAATTATATTCTGATTTTTAAAAGTATATAAAATGTCCCTCAAATTACTACAAGTCCCACTGCAGATGTGTTTATTTCACCCTTTTCATAAGGTATTAAATTTACAACTTGCTAAACATTTTACCAAACATGGGAAAACTGCCTGGCAATGCAAAGCACAATGAAGTAGTTACACGAAAGGAAGCAAAGACCCCTGTTAGGACAGTCACTGCGGCCCCAGCATGAAGACCTGCAAATCTAGACTTTTCAAAGTTGCATAGCTGCAAGATGGTCACTGCTAAAAGAAACAATGTATTTCAGAAACTGCAATTCAGCAGACAGTTCTACATTTAATTAACTAAAATGTAATTATGTAACTTGATTTACTCTTTGGATGGCATTTTTATAATATTAAACCTTTAATTCAAACTACTAGCATATTTAGCTTTCCTATCCAGAAGTCTATGTTTCACACATGGGGGGGGGGGAGGAGGAAGAACTTAAGATTATCCTCTCCATTCACAGAATATTATACTGTTTTGATTACATTTCTTGGTTTCACATTGAAGAGTTTGTAAAAACTAAATTGGACAGTTTTCAAGTTAAGAATAGGTGAATGCAAAAACATTATGCTGGGGAAAATAAGAAGTCCCCAAACTAAAAACAAACAGACAAACAAACAAAACAAATACAATAAAACAGCAGCTCTACAGAACTTAATAAAAAGTAAATCAACTTTCAAATTAGTTAACTTTGGCGTCCAAATACAAAATGTTTATCAGTATCATCTACGCAGTGACTAGTACAGGATGTGCAGCATTTTCAAAGTCCCTGTGTGTCCCTTATATGCAAGTTTGGTGCACTCAAGTTCTGTGGTTCCCATCCATCTCTGGACCACTGAGTGTCACAGAACTCAGATCCTGGGCTGAGTAAGCCTGCAGTTTTCATTTCTTTTTTTTTTCCAGAGACAGATCTTCAAATCTTCCAGATTTCTCAAGCATCTTGAAAAGACAAGAAAACCTGCATAAAAATAAATTATTCTAAGTCATGGTCAATGTAGTGATGAGGCAAGCAGACCTGCTTTTCATCCCGCCCAGCTAACTTCACACCTGAAATAACAACACACAAATTGTATTCATTTAAACACTGCCTGGCCCATTATCTCCACTCCCTTATTGGCTATCACATATTGATCTAACCCTTTTCTAATATCTGTATTGCCACTTGACTGTGGCTTACCGGCATGAGTCTAACCAGCATCTGTCTTGGAGAGGAGAGTCATGGTGTCTGTCTGACTCTACTTTCTTCCTCCCAGCATTCTGTTCTGTCTATTCCACCTATCTAAGCTGCTGTCCTATCAAAGGTCAAGGCAGTCTCTTTATTTGACCAATGAAAGTAACACAGACAGAAGACCCACCTACATCATTTCCCCCTTTTCTGTTTAAACAAAAAAGAAAGGCTTTACAGTTATAATATTTATATCTATTTTATCTTTTATCATAACTAAACAGGTCAATATGGTAATGATAACAGAAATACAGCACCCATTCTACCACGAAGAGAGCTTTATTACTGTCACCTTTCATACTACCATTTTACTACTTCAGAAATTTATAAAGTTATTATTCTGTACAACAAACTAAGAAACAGAATGATCAGTTAAAGCTTAACATAGAAGAAATCAGCAAAACTTAAGTCATTCCTTTTCCACAGTAAGTGCTTAAGTACACACATGAACACACACACACACACACACACAAAATCACACATATCCTCTCAAACTTAAAATCATCTCCCAAATAAAAGCAGCAAGCAACTTCATAATTAATGAAGACTGTACATATTCATATCTCTATTTTGGATTAGTAATTATTAAATTCTTATGTTGCTGATAGAATGCAGGGCCTTTGCTACTTAAAAAAAATAGACTCTGTTGGTTTAGATTTTTGCAGGCAGCTGTGTAGAAAGATCAAGCTGACCTATATAAGTTCATCTCAAAGCCTAGTTGTTATCTAAGGTTGACAGATATATACTGATGACCATGAGAGGGGATGTGTTCCAAAATCCCATGATCTCACTGTGACATCAAAGAAAAAAAGTGTTGTGATGAGACCATGAAAGAAAAAACTAGGTCTTCTGTGGTTTTAGGGTTTGCTAATCTCCATCATGATAACATCAGAACCCTTCAGGTTCTGCCATCCAAGGACACCTGAGGAATGATTAAAGACACTCCGTCTTCTGGCCCCTTGATCTAGGACTTTCCAGTGAGCAAGACACTGAGCAAAGATATTTTGTTCACCATCAGCCACCTCAGGTACTTTGTTAGGTTTCATTGACTGCACTAGAACAGACTAAAAGGAGCATATATATCTGCAGGTTAAAGATTTAGGGATATACTTTACCATGTTAAACGCTAAATACCTTTTTCTGTAGCTTAGCCTCACCCAGAACTTCTACCACCACGCCCAGCAAAACTTCCATTTTATTAGCACTGTTTTTTTTTTTAAACTATTTCTTTTAAAATGGTTCAGTAATTTCTCATTATGGTATTGACCCAGACACAGGACAACACACAACAGTATTTCAAAGTATCCTTGCCATCAGAAAATGTTTTACTGTTGGGGATACAGCTCAGTGGCAGGGCACCACCTAGCCAGAAGAGAAGTTTAAATTCAAGCTCTAAAACAACACTAGGATACAGATCGGGACTGTGAATGTACCTCGGCGTAAACTGCTGGCATGTACAAGACCATGGCTTTGATTTCCAACACCATAAAACAAAACCAGTAAAATCTCTACCTTTCCAATAGTGAAATAAAAACACAGATACCCATGTGCCCTGATACAACCTCACTACATCCCACTGCTCGGCAACACAAATCTTACTATCCCATCTGTACTGAGGACCCTACAGAGACCCCAGGCAATAGTGCCCCAGTCTCCCATGCTTTTGCTTTCATGTGCACCCAGCTGCAGTTCTCACTTCTCAATCTGTTAAGTTATCCTCACCAATGCTGCAAACAAGTTTCTTGAGCACATCACCTCAATGCCTAGACTTCTAAAGAGCAAGAGATACTAATGACAACATTTATTTATTGTCTGTGGAGGTGGGCACATGGGCAGAGGTCAGAGAACAACATGTGGCAATTGGTTCTCTCCTTCCACTCTGCGGATCCCAGGGATGGAATACCAGTTACTAGGCTTGGTGACAGGCAACTTTTTTTTTTTTTTTTTTTTTTTTTTGAGACAGGGTTTCTCTGTGGCTTTGGAGCCTGTCCTGGAACTAGCTCTGTAGACCAGGCTGGTCTCGAACTCACAGAGATCCGCCTGTCTCTGCCTCCCGAGTGCTGGGATTAAAGGCGTGCGCCACCATCGCCCGGACGCCCGTGACAGGCAACTTTACCACTGTCCTAATTAGGGGTTATCATCGCTGTGATGAAACACCATGATCAAAAGTGAGTTGGGTTGGGGAAGAAATAGTGTCTCTGGCTTACACTTCCACAGCACTGTTCATCATCAAAGGAAGTCAGGGCAGGAACTCAAATAGGGCAGGAACCTGGAAGCAGGAGCTGATGCAAAGGCCATAGAGGGTGCTGCTTACTGATTTGCTTGGGTGGGCTTTCTTATAGAACCCAGGACCACCAGCCCAGGGATGGTACCACCCACAATGGGCTGGGCCCTCCCCAATAATGACCATTTTAAAAAGTGTCCTACAGGTTTGCCTATAACCCAACCTTATGGAGGCAATTTCTCAATTGAGGCTTCCTCCTCTCTGTTGACCCTAGCTTGTGTCAAGTTGACATAAAACCAGACAGCACACACAATGAGCAGCACCTTGCTAGCCTAAAGCACAAGAAATTATGCGAGGATAGCAGAGAACAAGACCCTAGAGCTTCTAGTTTAATAGCTGCTCAGCAAGTTTACTGCTGGCTATAGTGTCCTCTCCTTGATCATGAGTCTCTCAGTTCTCTGAAGGGTTACAAGATTAGCTAAATGCTTCATATTTAAAGAGAGCAACTAAGTTAACCTTATTTTTTAAAGCTAGATGATGCCTTACTTTAATTTACCTTATGGGACATATATTAAAGATAGTTATCATTTACCTAAACTCACTAAGCATTTTCAAATAAATTAACTTGGCAGAACAGACTACTCTCCATTTACTACTGTAGTGTAATGCATTTGCCTATTACAGATACAAACATTTTATTTTACAACATGTTAAGGATGGGAAGGAGAATGGCTAGTCACATGATGTAACTTTTTGAAGGATATGTTGTCTAATCATCTCAAAATCGTTAAGTCATCAATGTCAGAACAGCTGGGTGCAAACCAGCACAAGACTGTGTCCTCAACAAGTCACCTTTCCCAGCTGCTCTAACTTCCTTATCTGAGCACTGAGCGGTACTACCCTATCAGCAAACAAGTAGTGGACAGAAAATGACACCAGCACACAATACTTCCGAATGACTGGAATTATACTACCTAAGAAAACACCCGGGACAATGCTCAAGCACATAGATTAAACTCTTTGCAGTCTGGAACTTGCAATGTGCCTTGTTTCTTTTTATCTTTCATGTGTGAGACTGTGTGTGTTCATGTGTTCATGTGCTCAGCCAGAAGCTGACAAGTCATGTCTTCCTCAACTGCTCTCCACCTTATTTTTGATATAGGGTCTCTCACTAAATCTGGAGGTGGCCAACAAGGCTAGACTAGGCTAAGCCAGGGAGCTCTAGGTGTGGATCAGCTGCCCAGTGCTTTTCATATAGGTTCTGGGATCGGAGCTCGGGTCTTCATGCTTCCCTGGCATGCCCTTCTGAAAAAGAGGCAGCAGAAGCCACAGGGCTGGGGACAAATGAGAGGTACGAGTAGCAGCATCTGAGAAGCACCCACTTCAACCCCAAGGGCAGCTCAGCAGGGCAGCAGGACTGTGCGGCCCTTTTTAAACTACCTGACTCAGACGAAAATGATTTGCACTATGTTGTGCATATGCAACACAAAAGCTCCGATGAGTGTGATACAACTTACTTTTTAAATCATGGGACTTAATCTCTTTGACCCTTAAAGAACGTTCTGGAAAATGTGGTCATGATATGTACCTCACTGTTTCCTCCCAGTATTAAACTGTAAGTAAATAAACAAACAAACATGTTTTTAAGTATCAAGAGTATTCTAGTTACACAATACCTAACTCTACTCAAGAATCAAGAATAGCTGCTTTTAATTAAGTAGTTTTTTGTTGGTGTTTTGGGAGTGGTTTTTGGTGATGGAAATTAAACCCAGGGCTTTTGACAATCAAGTCTGTATTCTAACACTTAGCCTCCTTAGTATAATTTTAAATGTGAGTTTTTATATAGTAGTCTTACAAAATACCTAGAAAACATACACAGGGACACACACAGAAATGTGCCTCTGTGAATAACTGGATGAAGGACAATTAGAGCTAAGGACTTGAGGGACAAATAGCTCATCAGCGAAAGTCAGAACTTCAGAACCTGAGTTCTGGGACCTACATGGTAGAAAGGAAGAACCAATTCCTGCAGGCAGGTTGTCCTCTGATCTACACACACATGTCAAGGTTTGTGCATAATCACATGCTGCAGGCCTGTGTGTGTGTGTGTGTGCGCGCACGCGCGCACACACACGCACACACACACACACACAGTTGAAAAAAACTGAAGATGAAATAGTAATTCAAAATAAGATTTTATAAATCAATTAAAACAAAAAAAGGACAAATTACCCATGACACAGGAATCAGATGCTTAATCTGAAGGGTGCTCTGGACAAGATCTATTTACTTCAAACCATTCATCTATGCAGCTAGAAAAGAACAAACCAGAGAAGTATAAATCCTATGTTTAATCACATCCTATAGTCATAATAAAAACATCAACTACTTGACTTTAGTGTCTTTGGAAAAAATCACTATCTTTAATGATCACACCTGACAAATACAGTAAAAGATGTTAATTATACTTCAGTTATTTTACATTATTAAAGGGGAAAATCCTCAAACAATTATGCTATGACATACTTTCAATCTCAAAAAGAGTAATTATTACCTTAAAGAACTACCATTTCATTAATATTCAAGAGTTAGAAAAACATTTCTTTTTCAATAGTTACACATAGGCCTGATCAGTTTGCCTATCAATGCAATAAAATTAAAATGCTTTAAAATTATAATTCTTGACAATATTGTATAACATTTAAAAATTCCATGTTTATATGTGATTATTGAACCTTTAGTTCCACCTTGCTTTGCAATCCATATATATACAAACAAAGAAACCCTAATCTATTTGTATTTATAGAGCATTCATGATCATTCTGGAAATTCTGCACAGGGTACATACAATTATCTTCTTCCTTTGGGTTTGCTATGTATATATATGTGTGTGCACACCTGTGGAAGTCAAACACAACCTTGGAGGTCATTCCTCAAGTATTGCCCACCTTTTTTTAAAACAAACAAACAAACAAACAAACAAACAAACCAGGGCTTACTACTAGCCCGGAACTCGCTAGGCTGGTTAGTGAGGCTAGCTGTCCAATGAGTCCCAGGGATCCACCCAGCTCCACCTCCTTAGCACACACTGGAAGTGCTAGTCACCACACCCGTGAGCTTCTGTGTCTGTTTTCCAAGGACTGAACTCAGGTCCTCATTCTTGCAAGGCAAGCACTTTATTGAGCGATCTTCAAGCCCATAATTACTTTCCAGTGCTCAATTAACAACAGAGTCCAGTTCTGTAGTCCCCCTTCAAGTGCTCTCGGTAGTGACGGGCAATGGCTGCTGCACTATCGGCACAGATGGAACACATTTCCCTCACTGTACAAAAAAATTGTTCCTTCACTGTCCCAAATTCACAGAACTGTGACAAATGACAACACTGATGTCTTCAAAGGACAAGTAACTCGGCCAGCAGCGTGTGAGTCACTAAAGCAGGACTCAAACTGTTCTGAGTTCTCACTGGAGGCACTGTTAATTCCTGCATGCTCTACAGTGAGGTCAGCTAGTATCCTGAAGGGGAAAGAAGACAGGCCATTCTCATACTCTGGTGAAAACACTAGGAAAAATGTAAATGACCTCAATAATCATTCATATCTTCCAACTGACTAAAGTAACTCCTGATACCACTCAAATATTTGCTCTAAATATCAAACCCTAATTTGGTTATGACATGTTTTCAGTCTGGACTGTACCACTGCTCCCTAAAAGACCTCCCAACTACAAAAATACATCTTAAAACAGAACAGTCCAGTGGTGGTTACGCTCATAGTCCACTGAACAGCACTTATTAGCCATGTAATCTGGGCTCATCATGAGACGGCGATAAATAACTCCAGTCCCATTTCATGTGAACTAATATCAACCCACATAGTTTCTACTGTAAACTACCTCATTAGTTGTTCAGACTGTGATACCCCTTTCTCCTAGCAGCTCCAACAGGAAATCAGTGTTCTAAATTTAGTACTTTTTATTCTCAAGCATTTTCTTACCACATAATTCTAAAGGCATGTATTTTTAAAACACACAGCATTGTCCCATGTTTAAAAACCTAAATCAGTGCTACCATAAATATTATTCCTTATTTGCCTTCTTCATTTGAACTTTTAAATTTGTATTCCATTATGTAAGTACAGTACATGGATTTGATGCCACAAGCCTATAAATCAGAGTTGCTTGGGTTGCTGAGGCAGGAGGATTAAAGGCTTAATAGAAGACATGATATACTGTTTTAAAATAAATGACAACAAGCATGCCACAGTTTACTTATCTATTCTTTTGTTATAGATAGTTCCGATTATCTTTTAACAGTCTCTCAAATGTCATGCAAATTATAAATTAATCTTGTCACTAATTACAGTTTGAATTGGCTTTTTAGAAAGTCACAGTAAGGCTTTTTCAGTGCTGGCTCACATCCTGGTTTAGATGCCTTCTTTCCTCTTGGTCTTAATTTTGGGTAGTAGCTGTCTCTAGACTTGAGAGTAGAATGACTGACTCGTGACATATATACTGTAACTAAAGTTGTCTACCAACTTCAATCTTTTTTACTGAATTAAGAGCTAAAAATTTTTCATTTTAAAAATATTTTATCATAATCTATTTGTGTGTGTGTGTACATGCTCTGGTGACCGTGTGGCAGCCAGAGTCCATGGGAGTGAGTTCTTTTCTTCCCAGCAACCACATGGTGGCTCACAACCATTTGTAATGAGATCTGGTGCCCTCTTTTGGCCTTCAAGCATACACACAGAAAGAATATTGCATACATAATAAATAAATAAAAATTTTCCATTATGATGGCACAGTTGTCAGTTTCTTATGTTAACACAGATCATCAACAAGAATTTCAGTGTTTACCATTATATAGTAATGTTCTAAATGAAGCATCCTTTAATGGTTTACACTGTATGGCATTGGTACCCAATGTTAGGTTTAGTTATCATTGCCTGGATATAGCTCTCTATCCTTTGATTGCATATTAGCCTGTACCTTTCAAGCATGTTACTTATCAACATCATATTCTAATATTTCACCTACTTTCAGTTTATTCTTATAGATATAATTACTGGTATGTTTGGATTTATTTTGGTCTCCTTATTTTGAATTATTTACTCTGCTTTCTGTTTTTGCTACCATCTCCCCTAATCTTAGGTAAAATTCCATTTTATTCTTTTCCTTGGTTTGAATGCTACAACTTCATATTCTTTTTTTAATTTAAATGTATTTTATTATTTCTTTTAATTTTGTATATGTGTGCATTTGAGTACCAGTTCCCTCTGAAGCCAGAGGTGTTAGATCCCTCTGCCTATACCCTCCCCAAAGCTGGAGCTGTCGGTAGCTGTGAACTGCTTGACACAGGTGCTGGAAGCTGAAATGACCAGTGTGTGCTCTTAACGCCTGAGCCACAATCCGGTTCCTAATTTTCTATTCTTTATGTGGCTACCTTAAATATTGGTTGCTTTGCAACAGGGTCTCTCTACTAGCCCTGGAACTTACTATGTAGACCAGGCTGGCCTATAATTCACAGAGACTCACTTGCTTCTGCCTCTTGAGTGCTGGGATTAAAGAAGTACGTGACCACACCTGGCTTTGTATTTTAAACTCAAAATCGTTCTGTATTATTCTGAAAGCAAGAAGAACGTATAAAAAAAACAGATGGGCTTGGGAGTCAATCTCCTGGAATTCCCAGTTTGTTGGAATCTTGGTTTGCCACTTGCTAGAAATAGAGGCCTGGAGAAACCTCCTCCTTCTCCTTCTCCAGCTGTAAATGAAGGGCTGCTCGGCTGACACAGACCACCTGCTGATCTACATGGAGACAGCTGCACCACACTAAGGGCTTTATGAACGGCAGTCTAGTTACAACAGGCGTCTGTTCAGATTTTATCTGAGCAAGGGGGAGAACGGGAGGTGGGTGGGGTGCTACTGAGATTCTAAATTGAGAGGAAGAATTAGAATGAAGAGGAAACTGCTTAGCCCTAACTACAATGTTTGAAACTAAGAGAATAATCGCTTTGCTTTAATATCAACCTTGCTAGAGCAATACTAAACTTACCCTTTATGATATATACACAGGCAAGGCAGTCGTGCTATGGTATCTCCCTGCTGCAATTCTTCAAGGCATATTGCACATTCCCCAGCATCTTTACTCAGCACATCCTCTGTGAAGAAAAAAATGAATTCAGTACAAGAAAACTAGCCTGAGAAACTAAAAAACAAAAACAAGCAGAGAATGACTTACTATACCTGTACAACTAACTATACAAAACTCAGCACCTGTACTTGAAGCGCTGTTCACACTGAATGAAGTTCATCAAACCTGCTTCACCAAGGCATAAGAGTAAGCAAGGACACACTACAATAGTTCTCAACTCACAAAAGAGTCTGATCCAAACAGCCAACAACTCAGTCATTTGTTATCTGGAATTAGTATTCTTTCTGCTATGTATCAATATTAGTGTAGCATCCAAAATAGTTCAAAAAAGTTTAGTGCAGTATCGCTGAAAAGACATGAATATAAAATACCTTTATAAGTTTTTTAATTAAAGGAAATAAAAAGAAATCACCCTGAACAGAAAACTGCTAAAAGGTTCCTTATCTCAAAAAAAAAAAAAAAAAAAAAGGCAGAAGGATATCAATACTCTTGTTTAAATTCTGAAAGCGACTTTAGAAACTTGAAGGTTTCAGAGACTGGGCAAGGAGGAAACTCTTCACAGCCCTTTTGTCAACAACACCATACCAACCCCAGATGGTGATCAGAGTGGCTTCCAGACAGCGCTGATGGTATTTTGAAGACTCTATGGTGTTTAAAAAAACCCAACAGAAAAACTCTTACTGCAAAGCAGATATTCCTTTAAAGAGCTCTGAAATTGCAGTTTAAATCGTTTTAATGTTATTTATTTATTTATTAATTTACTTCTGAGGCGGGGTCTTAATATGTAGACCTGGCTAACTTGGATAACTATATACAACAAGCTGGCCTCAATTACAGAGATCCTCCTCTGCCTCTGTTTCTGCTTCCTGAGTGCTGGGAATAAAGATCCCAGCACTACATGTGCTTACTGTTCAATTTTAACCCTGCCTGAACTAGCATGTTGGTTAGGTATCTTTTGTGACCTTTAGAGCTGCGCTGAAAACCATGCCATCTCTGCAGAGTATGAATAAAAAGCCCACAGAGAATAGTGTGGCTCCCTCTCAATGATTCATTCTGAGACAGCAGATGGAGGAAAAATAGTCTATTTTGGTCCACAGAAAAGCCTGGCAATGAACAACTTCCATGAATAAAAAAGGTATCAGCGCTCATAAGTTAATGCAGTATGATCGGCAACTAACAGAGATAAAAGAAAGTGTTATATCATTTCCCCTTTCCTGTTTTCTCCCTACATTAGAGTTCTCTTCTGTCTCCTTCTTGCCCCTTTATCTCCACTGAAGTGTTAGTGTCTAGTCTATCATTCAAGGACCCAGTTTCTAGTGAAAGCACTAAGCAGACAGACAGCAGGAAGAGTAAAAAGGATGGGTTTCATTCCCAGCATTGCAAAACAGAGAAAAGCCATTCTGTAAAGGTTTGCTCTAAAAAATTCAGTATTCTAAAAAATACAGTATATTCCTACCAAGTAGATTTTACCCACAAAGATAAATCAATATAAAACCAAACAAATCTGTGAATGAGTTTTCTAATAAACTTCAAAAATGAGGCACTCCTTTTTATGCAACCCATAAATGATTATGAGATGCATTACCAGTTTCATATAACTCAAGTAAGAAAAACATAGCCCCGTAAGTTATGACACATACTCTGAGCTTAGGCAGGAGGACTGCAACTTCAAGGTTAGCCTGAGTCATAGAGAGACCCTGCTTCTAAAGAAACAAAAGCAAACAAAACTGCAGCACCCATTGATCTTAAAACAAACCAGTCTCTTCCAGCTGCCTGACAATGCATTCTGGTGTCGGAAGAACTCTCACGCTCATCACAAAATAAGATGAATGAAACGAGCATTTGAAAAACAAACATCATTACTATTTTCCTGTATTCTACATAACGGATTCAACATAAAATAGAAATATGTAGAACTTTAACATGCTCTGAATATAGTGTTGAATAATGCTGTTTTAAACTTGATGGGGGCAAGTATGAACCCTCAGATACTTCCTACCTTAACTTCAGAATGCTGTACTAAAGCCAGTTATTTTGATCTTTAGTTCTATTTAGCCCCAGTACAAAGACAATTGTACTTTAATATCAAGATAGGCACCCACACCCCGACAGCAGCTTACAGCCACAGCTCAGCTTCTGCTGCAAACAGCTTCCCCTAGCACTGCCAGTGTTAACACTCCAGCTACTCAATGTCAAATGTAATCTGGTAAGCAACTAAAGTAGTTCATTCTTGAAATAAAACCTCATAATCACTGAATCAAGGAAAAAATGTTCAGTTTTTCAAAAGTTAAAGCCCCCCCCCATAAAAATCTACCTGAAAACATTTTTACAGTTAAAAAAATCACCATGCAATGTGAAAATTGAAGTGCATTTTTCTTAGTGTCCATCACCGACCTAACACACCTGGAGCAGTAAAGAGTGAACTTGGTGCACTGTGCATCATCCTACCTCTCAGGCCATGTATTAATTTTGGCATACAGATAAGGGAAAAGGAAAGTAAGACAAGACTTTTAACAAGAGGTGGGTGCCAGAATCCCTCTGGGGTGCAGTTCATCAAAACACAGAGCTTCTCAGTGTCTTACAATCTACACCTGCTTCAGAAAGGGAACTGGTCACTAAAGAAGGGCAGGAAGTGCAGGAGATCTGAAGTTGAGTTGGGTGTGGTGGACAGTCCTACAGCCAGACCCAAGAGGCTAAGATGGGAGAAAGGTATTCAAGGACAGAGCACATAGTGAGAAACTGGGGACGGACATACACATGCGCATGCACACACACCCACACACCCACACACACACACACCCCATCCACAAAAATTTATGGGTCGGGCATGGTGGCAGTAGAGGCGTGGGCCACCAAGAGTATCTCTCCATGAGTTCAAGGCCAACCTGGTCTACAATAGTGAGTTTGAGGACAGTCTAGGTTATGAGACCCTGTCTCAAAAACAAAACTAAATGAAAAAAGCTGAGAATTGAAAATCTAATACAGATTCCCATTTTGCTAGTCGTTTGACTAATTAGTCAACCTCTGAAATATCCTACTTGTCTTTAGTATTAACGTAGGATATGTACTCAAAATATTATAGTTAAGATTTTAAAGAATTATATAAAATATTCTAAATTATAAAAGACTACATGAGATTTGCTTTATTAGTAGGAAGTACCTTATGGACTTCTTCAAAAACCAAAGTCAATTAGCATCCTATTCCTTCTCTTACTCATCCTAATATTCCAGTTGTTCAAAGAAATCCCTGTTGACTAGGACTGCCTTAGGCACTTCTGCCCTAGCCATCTTGACACACCCGTGACTATGGCCGGACCAGCACAGCAGCATGCAGACGGTGCTGCCCAGTGCTGCATATGCTGTGCCTTCCTTCCCACAGGCAGACAAACCAGCACGTTATTACATTCTTTTGGACATACTTATACTTTATGTTAATCTTACACAATAACAATTGCCATCTACATTTATACATGAGCAAAAAGGCTGGAGGAAGTTAAGTAAGTTAACCGAAGTATTAAATTAGTTGTGTTCTAGAACCAAAACTTTTGGTTGGCTAAATTAAATAGGTTTTTGCCTACTTCATAAATTGTGTTATAATGAAAAAAAAACTTCATTTTTAAAAGCTTTCACATTAAAGTAGCATAAATACTGATGTAAATGAACAATGTTAGACAACCATAAGATTGTGAAGTTCTCAAGCTGGAGAGGACCACATTTTTAGAGAATGTATTCTTTTTTGGTTGAGTTCTGTTAAAACTCTGTGTATGCTAGTGCCCTGAGGCCAAAGGCGCTGGATCCAACAGAGCAGGAGTAGCAGGCAGTTGTGAGCTGCCTCATAAGGTACTAGGAATTGAACTAGGGTCTTCTCTAAGAGCAGCACACACACTGTTAACCATGGAACCATCTGTTACCAGCCTCTGGGGAAGCTATTAACACTGGTCACACTTCATCTTCAGGAGTTAATAATACATTATAAAGGTGGTGTGGTACTAAGTCGCTCGCGCTCCACTGCTTCAAGAGCTTAAAGCAATCCTGACCAACAACATGTTTTATTATAAAAGAAATAGTATTATCTGTGCTATCTACATTGGCCACATACCAACTAGAATGAGCTCTTGAATTTTCAACTTGTGGTAAAATATCAAACCTCAAAATGCATAATAGCTAATGAACATACATTTAAAAGCTAATTAGAAACTTCTGTAAATTGGTATTTCAGTTACAGCTTCTCAAGCTCTTTAAGTGTGCATTGTCCAAAGAGAGTACTTACAATTCAAGCAGCCAACTATGCAAAATTAAAATATTTAGCAGGTCCAAGCACATATCCATACAGTTATTGTGGATTAAGACAACATGAAGAAAAGCAGACAGCCAAAAGTCTCCAAAGCCAAAACAAAACCAAGGCCGAGTGTGAGGCAGCCAGGACTCCATGCACAGTCTAAATCACCACAGTTAACTTTCCGACAAGCACCAAACAGGAGGCTCATCTTTCCAGCCAATACAATGCCGAGCACTATCACAGATCAGGCATTTTACCTGAAGATTTACTTTTTCTTGAACCCTCAATGATAGCAGAAGAAAACAAAAGCAGCTGAAATGTGAAATAATCCCTAGAAAATCAAGAATTAAAAAAAAAACCACAATATTAGTAAAAGCAATTATTCAAATAATGAAAAGTGGGGTTCTTTTATTAATATTTTCAGATATCTCTTAATTAGTTTAACAAGAGTCAATACTAAGACTTGACATTTCAGATCCATGAGCTGTTTTATTCAAATACTGTAATGCAGTTTATAAATGATATTTAACAAAGTGAGGCTGATTTCTAAGTTAAATATATCAATAAAAGTATGGTATCAACCTTTACTAGTGTGCCTCAAACTAGAAACCTTGGTGAGTATTGGTCCTATCCTGTTCAGTCACGTTCTGGCTCACCTGGAATTATTAGTTTCTTTGCCTTGATGCAAGCAAAGTCAGCAGGCGTATGCCTTCCTTTGTGTAAGTATA